CCTGTTCTCAGAACCCCTGTCATATTCCCTAAGGCCTGTGGTGACCCTGACTGATCTCTGAGCCTGCTCACCAGGTGGGTGAGCCTCAAGTGATGCCATGGAAACCAAGTAGGATGGAGAAAGAGCCACAGATCCACTTCCAGCTTTCACGTAGTTAAAACATCCCATGGACTTTCCTCCCTGGGCTGGCTTTGAACTGCAATCCTCAGATCTTAGCTTCTTGAGTGGCTAGGATGACAGGCCTGAGTCAATGAGGTCAAGCTTTTTTTTTTCCAGTCTGATGATTGAATTCAGAGTCTCCTTGCTTGCTGAGCTAGTGCTTTCCTACTTTAGCCACGCCCCTTGAACAGCCATAAGGCTTTGAATAAGATGCTCACTCAGAGGAAGGGTAGGGCTCTGTCCAGACATCTAGTCCCCTCTTTACAATGACAACAAGGAACCATCCAGAGGCTGATCCTTTTCTGAGCACTCATAGCACCCCTCAGGCAGACAATGTCATTGACTCTGAAGGGCAGACCAACCTGGAGTCACATGGCCAGGCTGATGGACTCCTAGCCCAAGCTCCCAGTGCAAGTACTGAGTACTGGTGAGGGTTTCTCAGGCCACCTCATCCACGCCACAGAGTAAAAGGCAACCTGTTCCCACTCTGACCCTGGCAGGCAGCCCCAGCCCTTCAACTGTCCCATAGTCAAATAGAGAAACAGTTCAATGCCCAGATAACACAGATACCCAAGGTTGGAGCCAAGGGTAGAGTAGGGAGCCAGATACCTCCAAATGAACATCAGGGAAGCTGAGCCTCCCTTCACCCCTTCTGGGTCTCTGAGTGACTCTGAAAATAAGTGCCTAGGGGGAAATTCTCACTCTGTTACTCATGAGCTATGCCATCTCCTGGGATTGTCTTTCAGGCTCTGGCCTCAGGATTCTCATCCATAAAACGGGGTTAATAATAACCTATTTTCTTCCACACACACACACCCAGGTTGTTATGAGAACTAAACTAAGATGATGCATGAATATCACACAATAGCAGGCATCCAAGAAATGTTTGCAAAGTGACTACGTGACCAGATGAAATCCTTCCACTTTGTGAGTGTGTGTGCGTGTGCGCGTGAGCACGCATGTGTGCATGCACAAGCTAGTAATGAGGCTTGAACTTAGGGCTTTGTGCTGTCCCTTAGATTTTATTTTTCTCAAAGCTGGCACTCTACCACTTGAGCTACATCTTCACTCCTGGCTTATTGGAGGTTAATTGGATATAAGAGTGTCACAGACATCCTGTCTGGGCTAGCTTTAAACCTTGATCCTCAGATTTCAGCCTCTTGAGTAGCTATAGGATTAAAGGCATGAGCCAGCAGTGCCCAGCTTAAAACCTTTCCACTTTGAAAGTGCTCAGGCTTTGAGTCTGCACAAGCATCATGGTTATGTCACATCCCATTTAAGGCACCTAGACAGGACACAGAATGGGGCCTGTGACCACCCAGCTGGCACCTGCCAGGTCTGAGGGTGATTGCAGATTCTACCTGCAAACAGGTGCATGAATTAAAAATGTAGCTGGAGCTGGGGGCAGGTGGCTCACACCTATAGTCCTAGCTACTCAGAAGGCTGAGATCTGAGAATTGGAGTTCAAAGCCAGCCCAGGTAGGAAAGACTGTTGTCTCCAATTAACCACCAAAAAGCCAGAAGTGGAGCTGTGGCTCAAATGGTAGAGCACTCACCTTGAGCAAAAAGCTCAGAGACAATGCCCAGACCCTGAGTTCAAGCCCTAAGATGGGCACAATAGCTAGCTAGCTATCATGATAGATAGATAGATAGATAGATAGATAGATAGATAGATAGATAGATAAAATGTACTTGGATTAACTGATAAAGTACACAGCAGGCTCATCACCTGCATGAGAAGAAAATGGAAATGACAAGATGTCACACAGCCAACCATACTACCACATCCTACAAACAGCCAGTCACTGCTCCACACAGGGTCTCACATCACACAACGTTACATTCTCAGAGATGGCAAACACACAGCCAACTGCATGCCCACCACCATAGTCTCAACTCCACACAGCTCAGCACACACCGTTACAGCTACAGTCACTGAACAGCATGGCTCTATACCTCACCATTCCCTGTCCACAGCCTGACCCCATACCCCACCCCTACCTCACACAGCCCATGCCCACACTCCTCTCACACCTAGGCCTCACCCCAGCAGACCCTGGTAACATGCACAGCCTTTTTTCCCTCTGGTGAAGAGGGGGGTTCTCCCGTGCCCTCCTCATTCTCATAGGTCCTAATCAGGCCTTGAGCTTTATGAAGCCACTGAGGATCCGAGCATGTGTGGAGTCAGCTGGGACTGAGCCCCGCACAGCAGCCCTCTGGCCTGGCCATGTGTAGGATCAGCAGCCTTCTTGCTTTGCCCATCCCACTGATCCCAGGTGGTTCAGGGGTGTCTATGAGAAGTAATAGCCTAGAAGCCACCAGAAAAAGAAAAAAAAAAAGAGGGTGTCAGAGGCACTGGGCCTGCAGACAGAGTGCCTGGCTTGTCTCTGGGCCTGGCCTTGTGGGGAAAGATGCAGGCAAGAGCAGCAGGAAGATAGGATGGAGCGCTGAGAAGAAAATGAGAGAAGCTTTGACCACATAACGCACATAAAGTTAAGCAGGTCCCAGAGTAGGGCTGCAGTGCTCAGCTCATGGGGCCTCTCAGCCCCCACAGGTACATGTGCCAACATACGGCAACAGATGCACTCAGGGACCATGGCTGGATCGTGCCATTCTCTGAGCTTGTGACTTCACAGTACCTGGCCCCTCCTGGGGCTACTGCTGATCGCCTGGGAGCATGCAGGGCAATGGAGCCAACCAATGCTCCCTAGCCAAACAGCAGGGCTCCTCTGGCAACTCACACTGCCCACCTGGCGGTAGCCTGCAAAGTATTCTAAGGCCTATAGAGCAACTCTGGGCTGTAAAGAGGGCCTGGAGTCACCAGCAGCTGGGCCAACCCACACATAGTAGGAGGGGCAGCTAGGTCATGACTTATTCCCCAAAGCAGCCAGGCCATTTCTGTCATTATGTCATTTTCCTTCTTACCCATGAACTTGCGTATTTCCCACAGATCAACAATCCCTCCTCCCCCAATAAGTTGAGCTGCCTTAGCAGCAGCTCTCTGGACTAGATGAGGAATGGAACAGGTAGAACCCACAGGATACCTCCTGCCCCCAGCTGACGGTGTAAAGTGAGAAATGGCCCTAGAGCTGTCTGGCCTCCCTTGGTTCCCCATTGTTACCTTACTGGGGTAAGATACTCTCTTGGCCTGCACCTTCAAATATCCTGCAAGTTTATGGAAAGACCACATGGGATGGAGCACACCTGGGTCTACAGTCCTCCAAGGGAAGCAAGCAGGCTAGCCTGTGGTACTGGGGCTTAAATGTGCAGTCTCTATCCTGGCTGGGTGACTAGAGGAGGCTCCTGGACTCTGCGCTTCAGTTTCCACGTCTTTAGAAAATGTTCTGTAAAGCACGGGGACAGTGGGGGGACCCTGTGGTTACAGGACTGAATAGGTCTCTAAGTCACACCTCAGGTGACAACTGACTACTACTAACACATCACCTCCTTCCACATTTTACCCTCCTAGGAAAGGATAATTAACATCCTGATGGCATCGACTGCTGTCCTCCTACCTCAAGATCTGAAACCCCTCTGGGTCACCAGTACCAGAGGTGAGCACACAAGCCAGGGGACTTCACCTTCCACGTTGTATACTTCCTCCCAGGGAAGAGGGCTTAGCCAGCACTTTCGGATGGTAATAGATGCGGCCTTGGGGAAACATAATTAGTCTTGGGACTCGAAGGGTAAACAAATGTGTAATTCATGAATTTGCTAATTGTCCTTCATTTTGATCTTCTGCCATCTCTCCTAGCTTGTGAGTGACATCCATCTCATGGCAAGGACTCAGAGTGTTCCGGGGGTGAACCATGGGGGCTGCTGGCGTCGAAGCTGGACACCTGCACCAACCCTCTCCCAGCTGCCCACCTCCAGCCCAGGCCCACTGTCCCAGACATCACAGGAGGCAGGAAGCCCATGGCACTCAATCTTTTATTTTCTTAAACTGTACACAAACGTAAAATACTTTAACAGCCAGTCTATGGGGAAATTGTTTGGTTTTAAATTATTATGAAACAGAACCTAAAGGGAGCTTTATTAAATAAACATAAAGATGAGGATTTAAGGATACACACCTGCGTTCTACCATAGTCATTTTTACTCTACCTTCTGGGTGTGTGAGGATAGAAAAGACACATCAAACTGAATAAAACAAAATCCATTTATACCCTGAAACGTTGGCAGACCACTCACGGGATTGTTCAGAACATTTACCTCATAGAAGATGGCCTCACCATCTAATAAAAATTAAAACTGATCTGTTGGCCTCTTTGGTTCCAAAATTATGTATAATACATTTAACTGTATTCATTTTTTTTGCTGCTATAAAAATAACTTCTTTTTTCAAATGGCAGTTTCTGACTAATCATGCAACTAAATCAGTGCAAACATTAAAAGCAATCATTCGCTTAAAAAAGAAGCAAAGGATTTCATTTCAAGTATAAAAAAATATAAAAAGAGTCGTACGAGTCCAGTTTCGTCTAGTGTGGGTCAACCCTGTAAATTGCATAGTTCATGTGGCACTTGAACATGTAGAGGGAGAAGCCAAGTCAGGGCTGTTCCCAGGGCCACTTCTGGACACACGAGATCGGCAAGTGCTATAACATGTGCGTTCAGGCAGGTCTGCAAGTGCTAGGCGAGATGGGTGGGCAGGCAGGCAGGTAAGTGGGCGCAGGGGCCATGTCCAGTGGCCACAGCCCACCCACATGGGCAACTTCTGCAAAGCAGTTGAAGGCCTTCCCCATCTCAGTTAAACGGCTCCCCCTCCTCATCCTCCGTGGAGGATCTCTCCCCCAGCATTTCCAAAATGCCCCCACCCCACCACCGCCTCCTCCGGGCTCATCCCCTTGTCTGGTGGTCATCCCTACCCCTCTTCCAACCAGCCCCAGAGCAACGTTCCCAGCAAAGGGCACCGACCAACCACCACTGTTTTCTTTTTCTTCTCACTTGAAACAATTCAGATTTTCATTTTAAAGGTCATACCTGATATAAAAAAAAGTCTCTTTTCAGTTCTACAATTGGTATGAATGACTTGTCAACTATTGGAGGTGAGTTAAAGCATCAAATTAAGACCCCTCTCCTCTCCCCTACACACACACACACACACACACACACACACACACACACACACACACACACACACACACACACACACACACACACACACACACACACCCATGTCAGGAACCCAAGTGATAGTCAAAGAGTCATTGCTCCGGCTCCATGGTGTCTGACAGGTCAAGTCCCTCCGGAGCAGACTTCCCTCTCTGAGGGCTCAGAAGCACAGCTCCCCTGGCTTGGCAGTGTAGAGAATGCCAAGTGCGGGAGTGAACGCACACCACTGCACTAGGAGCTGCTGAGGAGGGGCAGGCCTGGTACAAATCAGAGGGCACTGAGCCCTGGCCTGCCCAGCTCCCCACTCTGCTTTCCTCTCAGTCAGTGGCTTGTACTCCCGCTCTCTCTCTCTCTCTCTTTCTCTCTCTCTCTCTCTCTCTCTGTCTCTTGTCTTTGTGCTTTTATATGTGCTCAGAAGGCGCGATTCAGAGTGGCCAGGCCAGCTGGTGGGAATGGAGGCTGCTCACCCCATTCTCTCCAACTGACAGGCCTTAGTAGCTAAGATGCCATTTGTCACCATATCCATTTGCTGGTATCCTGGAGGCTGCGGTGGAGGTGGTGGGGCGGGTCTGGCTGTGCATGTCTATGTGTGCATTTGAGCCTCTCATGTCAATCGAGGAGGTTCTCCCTCTGGGTTTGACTGGTTGATCTATGGAAGAGAAGAAAATTCTTTCAAGCCTCACCCTAGTACTCTGCAACCCAACAGCAGCACCACGCTCAGCCCGCTTTCACCTCCTGTTCCCACAGGGGCCAGAAGGAGCCCAATGGGACTGACCTCCACCCTGCAGCTGCCAGGCCCCCAGCCGCTACTGTCAGGCGCAGCCGCACTCCTCCACGATCATGTTGGGCACGTCCCGCTTGACAATGTTGTATTCATCATCGAAGTAGAGCATGGACATAGAGCTCAGCTTGGTGGGGATGCAGCAGGAGTTCACAGGCCCAGGGTTCAGGCCACGCATGCGGTACTGATTCACCACAGCTGTGTGGAAGGAGGAGGCTGAGCCAGGGACCCCCGCCAGGTAGGCTGGGCAGCTGCCCTCACAGTAGTTCCCATAGTAGCCGGTGGGTGCAATGATCCAGTCGTTCCAGCCAATGAGCCGGAAGTCAATGAAGAACTGTTGCCTGCAACAGAGGCTGGTCCGGCCATCGCACTCCAGGCCTCGCTTGCGAATGCGGTGCCTGCTGTCACCCAGCCGAGCCTGCACCACCACAAAGGGCCGGTGTGACTCCTCCCCAGGGTCGACAAACACGGGCACCACGGCCAGCTCCTGGCAGCTGTCACACTGCACATCCAGGTTGAGGCGCCGCTCGCCACGCTCAAACAGGGCCTGTATGGCCTCAGTGAGGGGGAAGGTGTGCCAGCCACTGCGCTTAAGGTCCACCTTCTTCTCTACCACGTTCCACCTGTCACCATGGCCCTGTTCCTGAAAGTACACTTTGACCCGCACCTTCCGCCGGCTGCCCTTGTCCAGAACATAGGGCAGGAGCTTCAGGTAAAGCCACAGGCTGGCCTGCACCACAAACAGGTTCTGATTGCCTTCATTGGAGACGAAGAAGTAGAGGCGGACCCGGGAGGAGGCGAGGCCATCTGCAGAGAAGAGGAAGAACAGGCCGAGTTAATTCCAGAAGAACACGAGGCAATGGGGAATGGACTTCGCTGCCTGATGCTGGAATGCAAACTCACCACAGCTGGAAAACGTTACTGACCAGAAATACCGTTCCTGGGGCCCCGGCCTCTGCCTGTAACCTGGGACAGGCAGAGAGAGAATCGCTGCTCATTGAGAAATCCAGCTCAGGGTGGAGTTGGAAGGGTCCAGGCCTATAAAATCCTGCCTCACCTCACCAAGGCCAGAGCTCCCTGGAGACAGGCTGTCAGGCCTCAAAGCTCAACAGAGCAACTTGTCAGGAGGCCAAGATCTTAACAAGTTGTTATGGGTATCTGTGAAATCTGGAAAACAAAACCAGGATCGTAGGGGAGGATTTTGATTTGGGGGTTGGTTGTTTTAAGTAGTGCTTTTTTTTTTTTTTTTTGGTTAACTTAGGGCATTGCAAAATCGAGCTAAACCACCTACTGCCTCTTTCCAGTGTTTACCTAAGCATGATCTGATCCAACCCGCCGTGGAACCTCCACTGCAAACAAGCAAGCACTGCTCAGATTTCTGACATAGGAATATGGGCTCTGCAGGCTGTAAGGTGCAGCCCTTGTTTTCAAGTAGTTCCAAGGAACAGTATACTCCAGCTTGTGACTCAAGGTCCAATCCTTTGACAAGACCCAGGCTCCCCATTCATGACACGTTCAGAATCTCCAAAGAAAAAGGGGTCTGGCCTGTTAAGTTTTCTCAATAATTCGTTTCAATAAGAAGAGTAGCTATGCCAGACAAGAGATGACACCCCTCTTATCCTACATTTGAATGACCCCTCTGACAAGCTCTACTTTTTTCCCTTTCTTCCTTTTTCCCCCCCAGAAATAAGGCAATTCTGTGGACATGACTGATTCTGTCAAACCTCCCACCATGTCCCCCCAGGCCCCTCCTCTGCCTGTGCGGCTCCTCTAATAACACTGACATCTGACTTTGAAATGGGGGTAACTGTAGCCTTAAAAGCTGGTCTTGGACGAGCCGCCTGTGACCTGAATCTGTTATTTATAAGTCAAAGAGCTGGCTCCGTGAAACCGACCAGAAATATAACAGCCCCCGCTGTCATTTTGTGCCACCGGGACCAAAAGGCCTCTTCGCCCTTCCAGAATCACATTTCTACCCTGGGCCCAAAGCACCTTTTAATCCAAGCCCTCTAATTGCATGTTGAGCGTTCCCTGACTCCAGCGGACAGCTAAAACGGCAATGCATTTCTTTCTAAGCACAAACCAGCCCTGATTGTCTCTGCTTTTCTCCACACTCGGCCATGCAAAACTTTTCATCCCTTTTCATCCTCAGGCGGCACCAGCACGGTCTGTCTGCTGCTTTGGGGAGCGTGGGGGGTGGGAGGGCATTTGCAGTCAGGGGCCCAACTGGTCTCCTCCCAGGCTCCCTGTTTGCCCCCCACTCTGACTGCACCGGGGCTTCCCCCTCTGTGACTTTCTCTGCAGTCCCCTCTGCACAAATGGGGCCGAGCTCCAGGCACAAAAGCCAGCCTGGCTCATTCAAGTCCTGAAAAGGACAGCGGAGTCTAAAGCACTAACAGAATTTCGGCACAAGCACATTTTCCTCCTTCTTTTAAACTTCCCAAAGATTTTTCTCTCGCTGATTTTTTTTCCCTTAATATTTAGACAGCGGAAGAGATTTGCGATGTAGGGCCAGGGGGGAAAATTCCAGAAAGGAATCCTACTCTTTGTTAACTAGAACTCTGCGGCTCGATTGGAGGGCTGCTGCTGCTGCTGCTGCCAGGGCAAGCCGAAAGGCTGTCCCCTAGCCGCGTCTTTGCGTAAATGATGGACCTGTTGAGAAGCTGCCTTCCGCCGATGCCGGTGCCCACACAATCGGAAGAGAGGTTGCCTAGCTCTCCCCAGCGAGGCTTCAGCAATCCTGGCAAGCCCACGCCGCCCGGTGATGGAAGCGGCCCTGGGGGCCTCTCACACAGGCGCACGCACTCACACACACACACACACACTCACACACGCACACACACACTCCTCCGGCCCACGTACATCAACAAGCACACACATCTCCATCCACACTGCTATGCCTACACTCTGATCGTGGGAAACAAAAACATTAAGCAATCACCAAGCAAGTGCCCGCAGAGCCAGGGCCGCGCGCATCTGCCGGGAGGGGGCCGCGCGCCCAGAGGTGCTGGGGCCCGATTCCGAGGAGCAGGGGCGCCGGGCAGGGTGCTCCAAGGCGGCGGGGATACGGGCTCAGGAAGGTCCGGGGCCTGAGGAAAGCCACCGCAACCCTGCGGAGCGCGCGGGGACACGGCGGGACAGCCTGGCCGAGAGTCCAGGTTGCCCCCGGGGCGCGCGGGCTGCGGCAGCCAAAGCTGGCAAGGAGAGCGAGCGAGGAGGAGGGAGAGAGGGAGGGAGCACCGGCCGCGGCTGGCAGTCCCAGGGCCGGACCCACCTGTCTCCGCAAAGCTGATGATTTCGGAGACGCGCTCCTGGCCGTCGGCGCCCGGGCTAGCGTGGCCGTCGAGGTGCGGGATCTCCACGCGGCCGTCCTCGCGCACCTTGCCCGCGTGCAGCTTGCGCAGGGCCGTGACCATGGCGGCCTTAGGCACGGCGTGCGTGATGTTGGGCCGGCCCCGCAACTGCAGGCGGTTCAAGATGTGCCGCTTCACAGCCTCCAGGAAGTCGCCGTCCACCCGGCCCAGCTCCTCCGGCCGCCGGAAGCCGCCGCCGCACGACGTACAGGTGTCCTGCGATCCAGCCGGGGCTCCCGGCGGCGGGGGCGGCG